TGTTCAGCAGCACGTGTCTTGAGTGCTGCAAGTTCTTCACGCTCTGCAGCCAGGTCGTCAGCTTCACTTCCCATGCCACTTGCATCATCACCAATGAGGGGCTGCTGGCGGCGCTGGCATATAGCTCGATACTGCTTCCACTGCTCGATGCCCATCGGGGTACAGGACGAGAGAGACTGCAGCTGCTGGTCGCCGTACCCGTGCAAGACCGTCTCGAGGATGTTGTAATCCACGTTGCCGTCGCGGATGCCGCCGACGATGTTGGGCGGGAGTGCTCCAGGAGGTGCCTGTGCATGAGGAACACCACCAGGAGCACCAGGAGCAGGAGCAGCCGCAGGGGGGGCCGCCGCAGCTCGCCGAGCAGCTTCGTTAATCTGCTCCTGGATCTCCTGCTTCTTGTGGACCTTGTATTGGTCGGCGTCGAAGGTGGACTCATTGTGACCTGCTTGCCGCTTAGCAGCGGCCGCTGTCTGGAGCTCTGCGAGTGCTTCGGCATGAGCCCGTTCATGCTCAGCCAAGAGGGCCCTCGTCTTATTGAGCCCGTCGGGTCTCCACTGCACTTCCTGGGACGTCATCCTCTCGCATGTGGCCGCGGTCTCGCAGGACCTGGCCAGCTCGGTTTGCTGGGGAAATACCATCCGATCAAGCTCCATCTCATTCGGAGGCTGCACGATCGGCGGGGGAGGGGCCTGATCCTGCACAACGCCTGCAAGGGCGGGATATGCAGCCGACCACAGCTGGAGTTGAGCAACCAACTCGGGTGGCATAGGCCCAGGGGGACCAGGGATAGGAGCATTATCAGGATGGGATAGGCCACCTTGACCACTGACGGCATCACCAGCCTGACGATATGCTCCATGACACTTGCTGCAAGCACGATGCCCATATCTGGTCTACTCCCAGTGAGAACATACGGAGCAAACCTGGTAGGATGTGTCCCTCGACTTCTTGTTCCATGATTCACCATGTCGATAGTTCCAGGCGCCTGCATTACGACGGCTGCGACTCCACGGGTTGCGAAACCTCCACGCCATCTGCGGAACGCAACTGCCGTGATGGAGGTGCAACACCTGGAAGTTGGCTTCACGGCGTAGGCGATCTCTGGCCGATGCCCTGCGCCGCCGCTCGCGGCGGTGCCACGCAGGGGATCGCTTGCGGGCCGTGGCGCCCAAGCGCTGGGGTCGCGGTCGGACGGGCTTCCCCGCAAGGAGGCGCCTCGGACCACAACGCCTAGGAGGAGGAGGAGGAGGAGGAGGAGGAGGAGGAGGAGGAGGAGGAGGAGGAGGAAGAGGAGGAAGAGGAGGAGGAGGAGGAGGAGGAGGAGGAGGAGGAGGAGGAGGAGGAGGAGGGGGAGGAGGAGGAGGAGGAGGAGGAGGAGGGGGAGGAGAAGGAGGAGGAGGAGGAGGACGAGGAGGAGGAGGAGGGGGAGGAGGTGGAGGAGGAGGAGGAGGAGGAGGGGAGGGGGAGGGAGGCGGAGGAGCGGAGGAGGAGGAGGAGGAGGAGGAGGAGGGTGAAGATGATGATGATGATGATGATGATGATGATGATGATGATGATGATGATGATGATGTTGATGATGATGATGGTGATGATGATGATTGCTGATGATGCTGATATGCTGATGATGCTGATGATGAGGATGATGAGGATGATGATGCTGATGATGATGATGGTGAGGAGGAGGAGGAGGAGGAGGAGGGGGAGGAACAAGCTAGGTGCGCTCGCGTCATATCTGACATCCTACCCCTCCCTCCCATCCCTTACCATGGCGCAGATCCCCTCTCTACTCGCACAGTCGGATGTCGAGCAGGGCAATGATCCCGAAGGGTACGCGATGCATTGTAGAGCACGGCATGGCATGGCGTAGAAGAGCACCGCAAAGCGTAGTATCAACCTAGCATTGCATTGCATTGCATGCCGTGGCATGGCACGGGAAATGACGCCAGCGCTGCAGCGGGAGCACGAGTCGAAACGAGCGGAAACGCGGAAATGAGGCCAGCGCTGCAGCGGGAGCACGATTCGGAACGAGCGGAAGCACGGAAATGAGGCCAGCGCTGCAGCGGGAGCACGATTCGGAACGAGCGGGGCCCGAAAATGAGGCCGGCGCCTCAGCGAGAGCAGCATTTTGAAAACAAATGCAAGCGAAAACCCAACTCCGGGGAAACCAACAACAGTACGCGGGGGGGGGTCGGACACTTTCAAACAGTCATCAGGGGAAGATGGAGAGTAATATTCATATTGAGTAATTGTGGAGGAGGAGGAGGAGGAGGTGGAGGAGGAGGAGAGGAGGGAGACGAGACGAGGAGGGAGGAAGAGACGAGGACGACGACGTGGACGAGGACGAGGACGAGGACGAGGCGAGGAGGAGGAGGAGGAGGAGGAGGAGGAGGAGGAAGGGAGCAGGAGTTAGGAGGAGAGGAGGCGAGGGTGGAGGGGGAGGGGGAGGGAGGGGGAGGGGGAGGGGGAGGGGGAGGAGGAGGGAGGAAGGAGGAGAGGAGAGGAGGAGGAGGTGGTGGAGGAGGAGGAGGAGGAGGGGAGGAGGAGGGAGGAGGAGGAGGAGGAGGAGGAGGTGGAGGGGGAGGAAGGAGGAGGGTGGAGGAGGAGGAGGAGGAGGAAGGAGGAGGAGGAGGAGGAAGGAGGAGGAGGAGGAGGAGGAGGTGGAGGAGGGTGGAGGAGGAGGAGGAGGAGGAGGAGCGAGGTAGGAGGAGGAGGAGGAGGGGAGGTGAGAGGAGTGAGGAGGAGGAGGAGGAGGAGGAGGAGGAGGAGGAGGAGGAGGAGGAGGAGGGGGAGGGGGACAAGCTAGGTGCGCTCGCGTCATATCTGACATCCTATTCCTCCCTTCCATCCCTACCATGGCGCAGATCCTTTCTCTACTTGCACAGTCGGATGTCAAGCAGGGCAATGATCCCGAAAGTGTACGCGATGCATTGTAGAGCACGGCATGGCATGGCGTAGAAGAGCACCGCAAAGAGTGGTTTCAACCTAGCATTGAATTGCACGCCGTGGCATGGCACGGGAAATGACGCCAGCGCTGCAGCGGGAGCACGAGTCGAAACGAGCGGAAGCGCGGAAATGAGGCCAGCGTTGCAGCGGGAGCACGATTCGGAACGAGCGGAAGCACCGAAATGAGGCCAGCGTTGCAGCGGGAACACGAGTCGGAACGAGCCGGGCCCGCAAATGAGGCCGGCGCCTCAGCGAGAGCAGCATTTTGAAAACAAATGCAAGCGAAAACCCAACTCCGGGGAAACCTGTGTGTAAGACAACAGTACGCGGGGGGGGGTCGGACACTTTCAAACAGTCATCAGGGGAAGATGGAGAGTAATATTCATATTGAGTAATTGTGGAGGAGGAGGAGGAGGAGGTGGAGGAGGAGGAGGAGGAGGGGAGCGAGGACGAGGAGGAGGAAGAGGGACGAGGACGACGAGTGGAGAGGGCGAGGACGAGGACGAGACGAGGAGGAGGAATGAGGAGAGGAGGAGGAGGAGGAGGTTAGCAGGAGTTCGGAGGGAGGAGAGGGTGGAGGAGGGGGAGGGGGAGTGATGAGGGGGAGGGGGAGGGGGAGGGGAGGAGGAGGAGGTAGGAGGAGGAAGGGAGGGGAGGAGGAGGAGGAGGAGGAGGAGGAGGAGGAGGAGGGAGGAGGGAGGCGGAGAGGAGGAGGAGGAGGAGGAAGGAGGAGGAGGTAGGAGGAGGAGGAGGAGGAGGAGGAAGGAGGAGGAGGAGGAGGAGGGAGGAGGAGGAGAGGAGGAGGAGGAGGAGGAGGAATGGAGGAGGAGGAGGAGGAGGAAGGAGGTCGGAGGAGGAGGAGGAGGAGGAGGAAGGACGATGGAGGAGGAAGGAGGAGGAGGAGGAGGAGGAGGAGGAGGAGGAGGAGGAGGAGGAGGGGGAGGGGGACAAGCTAGGTGCGCTCGCGTCATATCTGACATCCTATTCCTCCCTTCCATCCCTACCATGGCGCAGATCCTTTCTCTACTTGCACAGTCGGATGTCAAGCAGGGCAATGATCCCGAAAGTGTACGCGATGCATTGTAGAGCACGGCATGGCATGGCGTAGAAGAGCACCGCAAAGAGTGGTATCAACCTAGCATTGAATTGCACGCCGTGGCATGGCACGGGAAATGACGCCAGCGCTGCAGCGGGAGCACGAGTCGAAACGAGCGGAAGCGCGGAAATGAGGCCAGCGTTGCAGCGGGAGCACGATTCGGAACGAGCGGAAGCACCGAAATGAGGCCAGCGTTGCAGCGGGAACACGAGTCGGAACGAGCCGGGCCCGCAAATGAGGCCGGCGCCTCAGCGAGAGCAGCATTTTGAAAACAAATGCAAGCGAAAACCCAACTCCGGGGAAACCTGTGTGTAAGACAACAGTACGCGGGGGGGGGTCGGACACTTTCAAACAGTCATCAGGGGAAGATGGAGAGTAATATTCATATTGAGTAATTGTGGAGGAGGAGGAGGTGGTAGGAGGAGGAGGAGGAGGAGGAGGAGACGAGGACGAGGAGGAGGAAGAGGAGAGGACGACGACGAGGACGAGGACGAGGACGAGGACGAGGAGGAGGAGGAGGAGGAGGAGGAGGAGGGAGGAGGAGGGGAGGAGGAGCAGGAGTAGGAGGAGGAGAGGGAGGGAGGAGGGGGAGGGGAGGGGGAGGGGTGAGGGGGAGGGAGGAGGAGGAGGAGGAGGAGGAGGAGGAGGAGGGAGGAGGGAGGAGGAGGAGGAGGAGGAGGGAGGAGGAGGAGGAGGAGGCGGAGGAGGAGGGGGAGGAGGAGGGAGGAGGGGTGGAGGGAGGAGGAGGAGGGAGGAGGGAGGAGGGAGGAGGGAGGAGGGAGGAGGGAGGAGGGAGGAGGGAGGAGGGAGGAGGGAGGGGGAGAGGGAGGGAGGGGGAGGGAGGAGGGAGGAGGGAGGAGGAGGAGGAGGAGGAGGAGGAGGAGGAGGAGGAGGAGGAGGAGGAGGAGGAGGAGGTGGAGGAGGAGGAGGAGGGGCGGAGAGCCTCTCGGCCGCCGGCCGAGGAGCGCATGCTGCCCCGCGACCCTGGCGTGCCTGGCTCCAAGCCGGGCGACTGGATCTGCCCTGGCTGCAACGACCTGCAGTTCGCCCGCAACCCGGCGCCCGCGGGGCGGCAGAAGAACTCAGTAGCAAACCACGTGGGCCTTGCATGTTCCCGTAGCTCCGTCTTTGCAGTGCGCTGGCGTGCGCTGGCGTCTGGCAGTCGATGTGACTGCGCCGATTGAGCGTCCATTAGCGGCGACTTGGCGTCGCTTGGCGTCGATTAGCGTCGACGGTCGTCGACTCGCGTCAGCGAGCGTGGATTCGCACGAGCCAGCAGGATGGCATCGGAGGCTCCCGTGAGTTGCCATCGGACGGAGGAGAACAACAGCCGTGAATCGGCGTCGCACCCAGCCCTGATCATTGCATGCCAGAATTTTCTGGTCGCGACCGACGGCATCAATCGCTACCTATTTTATTTCAAGTTCTGGTATTTGTCGCGACCGATATTTTTCGAAATCAGTTGCGACTGGTCGCGACCAAATTTAGGATCTGTCGAGATCGGTCGCGACCAAACTCGAGTGCCCATCGGTCGCTACCAAACGCGGCTGAGCCAACATCTGCATCTAACGATCTGGGGAGGGGGCGCATTTTGTAATGCTTCTGGCCCCAGGGCCCTCGCGGATCGATCCGGCTCGAGCAATGCGGCAGAAAGATGGGTCTGGGGCTCCTGCCGTGAGTTTTCCGAGATGCTGCAGTTTTCTCGCAACGTCGGAGCTCAGGGGTGGGTGCGGGCCTTCTCAGAAGGCTCGGAAGGCCTCCAGCGTTCTGATATGCTTTCTCAGCGTTACCTGAGGTCACAGAGGGCTTCTCAGACTCAGAAGGCCAGGGGGCTTCTGGGAAGCCCCGCCGCCTTCTGAGAAGGCCTGCTCCCTCTCGCTTCCCCCCTCGGCGCACCGCCGAATGACGGCGAGGGGTCCTGAGCGCTGAGGGACGTGTGTCCTGAGGTGCGTCGCCGTGATCGGACTCCCTGGGCGCTCCCGGGCCCTCAGCGCACGCCGGGGTCGTCTGAAAGCGCAAGGGACTCAGGACGCAGAGCTGGCTCCGGGGGAGCCCAGGCCCCTGGCTCTCTCACCACCTCGACCCCAGCAGGCCTCGAGGCCCGTTACCCCCGGGGACGGCTTCTCCTCCTATACGTCGTTCCGGGGCGGCCCCGGGGCCCGGGGAGGGCCCCCAGAGGCCGGAAGTGGCGAGCCACCTCCCGTCGTGATGCGTGGCATGGCCCGAGGGGGGTTCGGGGGAGGGGGTGCCCAGGGGTCCAGGGCCCCTCTTTCGCCTCGGGCCCGCTTGCTCCATGCCCGGAAGAGACGCCGACACCGCTGGACCCGTGCTGCGCCGCCGCGGCTGGGCATCCCTCCACCTCCACCAACCATACCTTCGGACCTCCGCAGCAGTTGCGGAAGAATTTACCGAAATTCATGGGGACATTGCGCAATTGAAGGACGCCCAGGTAGATCATATCGGAAAGAAGGCGGAAGGTCGGGACGGAAGGTCAGGAAGAATGAGAGGGAAGGATATTCGCCCCAGCATATCCTGGTCCGGGCGCACCCCAGGAGAGGTCCGGGGAGTGGCGGCATCGGCACATTCGGGCTGCAGGGAGGAGCCTTCTGCAGGTCAGACCCAGCGATCCGACGCTCCGAACAAAAATGGAGCTGCCGGTTTTTGGCCGTTTTCGGCTTCCGGTGGGCCCTCACTGGGCCTCGGGACCGTTAATAAACGACCCAGGACGACAAACTGGCCCTATAGGGAAGTGGTTCAGACCTCCAGGGCCCGTCCATCAAAAAAGTTGGAGCGGCCGGGTGTCTGGTGAGTAACTCTTCGCACCGGAGTTGCCCCTGATGCGGGCATACCCTCGCGGACGATTGAACCTGGAGGATGTCTGCAAGCACCTTTGGAGAGTTCTGGGGGCAGGGCTCGAATAGGAGGCGGGCGGCGGAGGAGGAGGAGGAGGAGGAGGAGGAGGAGGAGGAGGAGGAGGAGGAGGAGGAGGAGGAGGAGGATGGAGGAGGAGGGCGAGGAGCGAAGAAGAAGGGTGCCGGGCGCGTGCCCCTAGGTGTGCCGCCAGTGCCGCACCCCGCGCCCCGCGGGCGCCGGCGGCCAGAACACCTTCGGGGAGGCTGGCGTTGTGGAGGACGATCAATGGAGAGGAAGAATGTTGCCACATAGTTTCCAGATGTCTAAAACATGTGTTAAACGTGTTTTAGACATGTACAAAACATCCTTTAAACATGATCGGGACATTTTCCGACATTGTAATACATTTTAAACTCAATGGAAGGACTGTTAGGGTGTCCATTGTCGTGGCATCCAAAAGGCTGGCGACTGGATCTGCTCCGTGTGCGGCGACCTGCAATTCCGCAGGAACACCGAGTGCCGGAAGTGTGGCAACACCAACAAGGACTCTCAGGAGGGGAAGAAACACACAGACACCATTCATCGTCGGCTCCCCAGCAAATATGGGGAAATATCCGAAGTGGGGGGGAAGACAAAAACCCAGAAAATATGGGAAAGTATGGTGAATCCTGTTATTTGTGTCTATCTATTTGTGCGTCCCAGGGCCCCTTCAGACTCGGGGGGTGACGTGCGTGGGCAAGGCTTTCGGAAACTTTTGGATAGTTAGCGTGCCGCGCCGCCGGCTTCGGCGCGACACGCTGGCCACGTCCCCGTCCCCGAGCGACAGCGTCTCAAGTTTTTCCCAGACTACCGCTCCGCGGGGCAGAGCGACACGCTACGGTGGGGGCATTCGATAAGGAACGTGCCCAGCGGATTCAGACCCTGGATGGTTTCTCATCTGATGAGGGCGGCGGTGATATCAATGGCCAAGCCACGATTGGAGTTCCACTGGCTTCCAGACCCTGCATTCCTTATCCCAATGCCCCCACCGTATCCTCTTGCAGGGCATTGCGTGTCGCCGGGTCACCCACGCGCCACGCTAAGCAGAAGTTCCCGACCGTATCGTTGGCCGTTTGAGCGTCTTGGGATCTTCGGATGTGGTACGTTCATTTCCCTCCTTCAGGCCACGGTTCACTGCATGAGCCTACCTATCGCACTTCGGCTCGCGTCGCGACATTCTGATTCGCACAGCGGTTGAGGCCGAGCAGTGTGAAATTGTGTGGTTGCGTTCCATCCTCCTTCTCCTCCTCCTTCTTATCTCCTCCTCCTCCTTCTCCTACTCCTCCGTCGATGCGGTCGCTCCTCCATCCCTTTTCCTTCTAACTAATTCCTCCCTGTCGCACCCCGAGACGTGTCAGTAGGGGGGTCGGGCGTTTCGCCTGAGATTTCCTCAACACTAACATTGCAACAGTTTCACGGCTGGAGGGCGGGCGGTTTTCACAATGTGGTTCTTGCCTCAGCGCCCGGCACAGTCGCCTTAAACGTCGGCCAGAGCTTCACGGATGGAGGGCGGGCCGATGGAGGGCGATATTTGTTCAGAATGTGGTTCTCGCCTTCGCGCCGCGCACGCTCGTCTAAAGAGTTTGCAGCAGATTCAAGGCTTCTTCTGGTTGACGTCCCAGACATCGTGCTTTGGCACGATGTAGTATTGCCAGGGCGCAGCAGTCACGTTGATTCGAGGTGTTGATGTCCCAGGAATGGTGTTCCGGCGCATTCAGGATCGTCCAGAAGTAACCGTAAAGCTGATTCGCGGCTCTGAAACCTCAGGCATGCTGTTCTTGCAGGGTTCAGAATTTTCAGACAATGGTCCAGTCGTTTGCCAGAGCATCTTCATGTCCTGACATGCAAGCATGGCCCTCACGGTCTCATAGTGCATGGGTTACCTTCTTTAGGATCTTGTTGTGACGGATGGTCCCTTTACGAGGCCATGCGACATTGCTACACAGTTCTGCTAGGTGAATGCGATGATGGCTGATGATACGCACGCGCTAAGAGGGAGGTGCTCGCACCTTTCACCGCTGAGGCGAAAGCTGCGCCCAATCCTCGCAAGCTGCACTTGAGCCAAATGCGCGGAAGCGCGCGCGCAGGCTCGCGCAAAGGTGGAGGGAGCGAGGTTAACGACCTGTGTTCCAACGGGTTGCTTCGTTCAGTGAGAGTGAATCTTTCCAGGGACCCATGAAGCGGAAACTTGGAGGAACGGTTATTTGCAGCAGCATCGTTAACGAGCCTTGGGCTTCCATCCTCCTCCTCGAACAGAAAACAGCGAGCAAGGACTCGGGGGGAAGGGCAGCGTGCCGATGCCGGCGCCGTTCCTTCGCCCTCGCCTTCCTGGGCCTCCCGGGGGGCCCCTCGTCGCCACAGCCAGATCCGCCCATGGAGTCCTGGTCGGAACGAGCCCCAGGAACAGCAAGTCAGAGGAGGAATCGGCACCCCTACCGCTATCCTTCTCCCGTTATTTCGTGTTGAGGTCTCCTCGGAGGCCCTCGTCGCCACCGCTGGATGCGCCTCGAAGTCCTGGTCAGAACGCACCTCGGGGGAGGTCTGGGGAGTAGCCGCATGGATGCCTTTTGGTTTCCCCAGTAGCGAGGCCATCCCGAGCACTTCCTGAACGTCGCAGACACACGACGCTCTCGGGGGCCCGCGCGGATTTCTCGCATCGGCGCCGAGCCGCGCCGCCCCCTGGAGCGCTCCGCTCGGATCTCCGACAGTCGATGTTTTTGTTGGTTGATTATGTACGTGTGTGTACACATCTATACATACATAGATATGTGTCTGGGTGTATGTACATGATAATCAAGGACAGCTCGACGTCCGCCGACGCCACCATCGCAGCGCAGCAGCAGGCCGCGGTCGAGGCCCAGGCGATCCAGGCGGCGCTCATCGCGCAGGCGGCGGAGGGCGGCTGCATGGACCCGACGGCCATGGCGGCCACGGACGAGGCCAGCCAGACGCTGTACCTGGAGCAGCTGAAGGCCATGTACGCCATGGGCGGCGTGGAGGGCATGTCCGTGTTCGGCGGCGGGATGGAGGCGGCGGCGAAGCCGGACGTGAAGGCTCAGCTGGAGGACCTCCGGCTCCAGCTCGCCAGGGCCAAGGGCAACGAGGACCTCGGGGGACTCGGGCCGGGGGCGGGCGCCCGTGCAGCCCAAGCTATAGGCGAGGCGGGGGGGGGAGGGGGGGCACGCGCCGCAGGGCGAGGTCGACCTGCTTCTGGGAGGCCAGCGTGGAGGGCAGGCTGCTGTTCTAGAGCAGGTCCCGGATGGTGCTCCAAGACGCGCGAGTAGGGGGCCGCATGCGAACTCTGCCCCTACCACCCACGATTTCTGAGGGGGAGGGTGGGGTTCACTTCGCTCGGGAGCTACCGAACGAAGTGACCCCCACCCTCCCCCTCGGAAATCGTGGGGGGTAGGGGTAGGGCTCGCATCTGGCCCCCCCAGCGAAGAAGGGCTGCCCCGGCAGAGCACCCAAAACGGGCAGCAGAGGCGAAGAGGCGGGTCGAGGAGCAGGAGGGCGGCTGTCGGGGCAGGGGTGAGAACACGGCCACCATGTGCACACCGTAGCGTTTTTTTTACCGTGGGTCGCGACCGTCTGGACCAAAAATTGACTCCCCGTCCGTCTCCTCTGTGGGACTCTTCTGCGTGGTCCAACTCATGTGCGAGCTCTCTGGCGAAACGCTAACCGGGAAAAGCGGCATAAACATACACTTAACCAGGTCCGCGCGGATTTCTTGGATAGTCGTTCTGCTCTCCCCGCGACGCCTCGGGCGCATGCTATGCTCCGACACGCTCCGCGCGCCAGAGAGGGGGTCCAGCGACGATCCAAGAGATACGCGCAGGCATCCGGAAGTCTATGTTCATGCAGACTTTTCTTCTTGTGGGCAGGGCCTAGATTCAATGAGGCGGGATTGGACGTTGGAGAAGACGGGTGGGGCTAGGGTAAGGGAGGCCAGGCGAGTGGCCACTCCACCTCCCATTGGGGAGGGGATGCTCGTGGAGGGGGAGCGGGTGTTGGAGAAGAGGGGTGGGGTTGGAGGACAGGCGGCCTTGGCCGATGATGGTCTTCCGCCCCCGTCCAGGAGGACTTGAGGCGCTTCAACAAGAAGCTGGACGAGAAGATCGAGGATTTAGAGAATCAGGCGCTACTTTCGCCTCCCCGCCCTGCCCCCTCCCGCCCCTCCAGGCACCGTTTCAGTCCGATCGGTTCGATTCGATATCGATTTCGGCTGGCCCAATCCTACTTGATTCCGATGTGCCGACGAGCTGATGCGGCCCGATGCCTGCGTGGCACCGTTGTTCATCTTGGCGCGGCCAATGTGAGTCGGTTCCGACTCGGTGCCGATGCGGCCCGATCGGACGCACGCTCTGTAGCGATCCTGCTCCACGAGTCGATGCCGTCTGATCCTGCCCTCTCCCCCCGCCCTGCCTCCTCCCGCGCCTTCCGCCGTCGTCCTGACCAGGAATGTCCTCGCCCTTCGCCCCCTTCGCTTCTTCCTCCCTCCCCCACTCGACGACGACGACGACGACGACGACGACGACGACGACGACGACGACGACGACGACGACGACGACGACGACGACGACGACCACGACCACGACCACGACCACGACCACGACCACGACCACGACCACGTCGACGACGACGACCACCACGACGACGACGACGGCGGCGACGACGAGGTGGCGCTCACGCGCGGCATCGCGGCGCTCCAGCCCGACGCCAGCCAGGACCCGCTGGGCGCACAATTGGCCGCCACCCAGGCCCAGGTGCAGGCGCAGGCGCAGGAGATCCGCGCCCTGTATTACAAGCAGGCCAAGCAGCAGATGCTGCTGCCCGAGGGCGGCGCGGACACCGCCGACGTGCCCGTCGGGCACCTCGTCGTGGAGGCGGACAAGATGTTCTTCCTGGACAGCAAGACGTCGCAGCTCTTCGAGGTGCCCGCGAAGGGGCCCGAGACGCAGGAGTTCCTGAAGTGCTTCCCGAAGGCCGTGCACGCCGCGAGGCAGGCCTCCACGTCCACCAAGCCCGTGAAGCAGCACGACAGGAGCGCCGTCCCTGCCCGGGGCGGGGACAGCGCGGAGCGCCTGATGCGCACCGTGCGCCTGACGAACCTGCCCCCGAAGGTGGACAGCTCCGTCATCATGAAGAGCATGGGCAAGGCTTTTGGGGAGGTGGCCTGCTTCAACGTCGAGGTGGACCCGCAGACCAAGCAGTCCTTCGCGACGGTCGAGTTCCGGGAGTCCTTCGCGGGCATCAAGGCGTCCAGGGCGAAGCAGCTCGGCCCGATCACGATCGCGCCGTCGCCGGCCTGCGTCCGCCAGGAGGAGGGCCGGGGCCGCAGCCGCAGCAGAGGCCGCCGGTGAGGCGCCCCGCGCCGGAAAGCCGGCGGGCGCCGCGGGCGGCTGCACGAACGCCCGCTGCTGCCCCCGCCTGCTTGGCCTGGCGCCTGTGCTCTGCTGGTGGCGCGGGGGGCGTGTGCGTGTGCGGAGGCTTCGGGCGGTGGGGGGCTGTGCACACAGGCACCGATCCTGGCCTGGCTCGCCCTGGGCCCAGTGTCGGCGCGTGTATGCGTGTATGCGTGTGTGTGTGTGCTGGTGTGTGTGCGCTGGTGTGTGTGTGTGTGTGTGTGTGTGTGTGCTCGTGTGTCGAGTCGGCCAGGAGCGAGTCCGAGGGCCGCGCCCAGTCCCACCCTCCCTCCCACAGCATCAGCAGCAACTCTGGCACAACCCGACATTTTGGGACGCGGGCGCAGCCTGAGATTGGGATTGTGCTGCGCGGGCCGCGCAGGGGCGGAGGGGGTGCCGGATCTGTGCGCGCGTCCGGCGCACAGGAGGATGGCGGGGGAGGGCGCAGCGAGAGCAGGCGGGGCCGTCCTGACTGCTCTCGCCCGCGCCCCCCGGGAGAAGACACGGCAGAGCCCCCCCCTCCCCGAGCCCCCACCCGAGCGGCCTGGGCGGGCTCCGGAGGCGGGGGCTTCGCTGGGGGGTGCCCCAGAGCTTCGCCCCCGCCCCTCGGCGGGGGGGCGGGGGCGAAGCTCTGGGGAGGAATTTTCAAAAGTAGGGAACAAATAGTCTGGGGACGAGTTTTTGAGTGTGTTTTTTGCTCTTTTGGGGTATTTTTTAGTATTTTCAATGTTTCGCCCGAACTCCGCCTGTAGGGCCACACGCCCGACCTAAGGGTCGCCGTCCGGGGGCCTCCTCGTCTCCATGGCTGGGCCCGTCTCGAGGCGCGGGTCGGGGCGTGCGCGCGGGCCAGCTTCGGGCGGGCGCGCGGCGCACGCGCCGCAGGCCCTCCCCCTCCCCTCGTGTTTCTGGCTGTGTCACCGCCGAGGGCACGCCTGGCTTCAGGATCCGAGGAGGAAAGGTGCCGATTCTGCTACCCTTGCCTCCCTGCCACGGCCGGGTTCGCCTCGAACTCTCGGCCAGAATGCACCGCGGGAGAGGTCTGCGGAGCAGCGGCATCGGGAATTACCTTGTCGCTTTCCCACGTGATGTCCACCGTACGATGATCTCATCGGCTGCCTGCTCGGGGGCCCCTTGCGTTCCGCCTTGGGGCCGCGGCCGATCAGAAAGGACCATGCCTGGACAAGGTCACGAGCTGGGAGGGCGGCGTTACGGTCACGAGAGCCGAGGAGGCGCGTGCTGCCAAGTAGGCGTGGGGCAGCGGGCCTGCCGGCTTGTCTCGCAGAGGGGAGAATTCTTGGCGCTTCGCGCATCCCCACCAGCCCATCCAGCAACGATGTCCAAGCGAGATGCACCGATCCGGGAAGTGTGGGTAAAGGCAGCGGAACAAATAGGGGGAGCGGGCATCCGTCAAACCGACGATGGGGATCTGCTGGAGCAAGCCCCAGAGCCAGCCACGTGGGAGTCGTAGCTCGCTTGGGCCATCTTGGGGCCCTCGTGGGGGGGGGCCTCGGGGGCGCTCTTGGTCGGGGGTGAACAGACCTCCTACCTTGACGCGCCGATTTTCGAATCGGCCGTTTTCAGTTCGCGAGAGGGCGTCGTGGCCGTCATTTTTGCGGGTCCAGGCCCGTCGGTTTTGGTCCCAGGCCGTTTTCACTAAGGGGAGGTTTGCGAAAGGGAAGTTTGTCCACCGCCGACTTAGGGCCACCTCGGAGGCCATCGATGGAAGGCCTGGGGGCCTCCCGGTGTCGGTCCCCTCGCCGGAGCCCGGAAAGTCGCCTCTGGGAGCCCTCTTGCGCCGCTCTTAGGCGCTCCCTCCTCCGCCTCCGCCTTCTCCTCTTCCTCCTCCTCCTCCGCCTTCTCTTCCTCCTGCTCCTTCTCCTCCTCGTCCTCCTCCTCCTGCGCCTCCTCCTCCTCGTCCTCCTCCTCTCCCGCCTCCTCGTCCTCCTCCTCCTCCTCCTCCTCCTCCTCCTCCTCCTCCTCCTCCTCCTCCTCCTCCTCCTCCTCCTCCTCCTCCTCCTCCTCCTCCTCCTCCTCCTCCTCCTCCTCTTGAGCTCTCCTGGTCCCCTCTTGGGGCTCTCTTAAGCGATCCTGCAGCCATCCTGAGGCCTCCAGGGCCGATCGGAAGCGAAAAAGCGAGAGCATGCGAAAAGCATGGACTTCCCGCCAGGCTTGCAGGGAATCTCGGCCTCTCATGGACGTTCTTGTGGAGGCTCGGTGGCCACTCGGACCCGTCTTTGAGCCTCTCGGAGGCTGGTCGGAAGCTATCCAGCAGAACCATCTCGGGCTATCTTTTGCGATCTTCGCGGCTATCTGGGGCTATTCGGACGGGCCTAGAATCGAGAGAAATCCGTTCCAGAGCGTTCCGGAACGCTCTGCAACGGCCGCGGCGCCCGATACAGTCTCCAAGCGGTTCTCCGAGATTTCCAATTCATATCGATCCGATGTTGCCTCGATTATGCCTTCGTCTTAGCTATCTGGGCCATCTTGGAACCATCTTGGGACATTTTGCCCACTGCGTCGCGCCCCCCTCATCAGACCCAGGGGAAGGGGCAGAGGTAGAGGTACACCTGCCACCGAATGGGAAGGAGGTTGGAAGAGCTAACTCCGTAATACCACCTACGCCCATGGGCGTTGGGGAACAGGCAGGCCTGCCGACTTGTCTCGTAGAGGAGAGAATTTCGAAGGAGAAACAGCGGCATTAACATGAACTTTCGGCGCCCCACGCGGATTTCTTGGGTCGGCGCCGGGCCCCCTGGCGGCGCCTCCGGCGCCGCCCCTGGCATGCTCCTCGCGCCAGGGAGGGGGTCCAGCGCAGAATCAAGAAATCCGCGCGGAGCGCCGACATTATGCCGCTCTTTGCTCCTCTAGACTTGCGCTCGAGGAGGTGCATTTGATATCAGACGCGCCTTCGCTCTTCTCCTTGATGAAAAAAGAAAACCTGCGGCTCGGGCCCTGGGCGCGTGCCGCCATTCGCGTGCCGGGGGGGCGCAGGAACAGTACGCTGACCGCGCTCCAAACCAAGGCTGGAGTGGCAATCTCGACGCAATTGCTGCCGAAGTCGAGGTCTCCTCCCACTCCCCCCCCCCATCCTCCTCCTCCTCCTCCTCCTCCTCCTCCTCCTCCTCCTCCTCCTCCTCCTCCTCCTCCTCCTCCTCCTCTCTCATTCCCCCTTGCCTCTTTGGCCGCTTCCCTTGAATGGTTCATCGATCCGTTCGTCAATGCAGCATTTTTGCGCGAAGCCGATACTCTCGTTAGTGGGGATTTGACTGACCGCATGGTTTCGGGACGTGGGTCGCTCTTCGAGGGCGTCTCAGGCGACCAGGGCCTCCGAGGTCCCAAAGACCGTGCGGTGACCGACCGTGTGGTGATGATTCGGGATTTGGAGGGCACCGCACGGTCCGTCACCGCACCGTTTCGGGACTCCGACCGCTCTCGTGGTGCCTGTGGTCCCCGCATGAACTACGGTGGGGGCGTTGATTAAGGACGGTGCCCAAGAGGCGTCAGACCCGGGGGTGTCCTTATCCGATGAGGGCTGCGGTGATACCCATGACCAGGCCCCAGTTGGTGTTCCAGCGGCTTTCCAGACCCTGGATTTCACTCCACTGGTTCCTTGTCTCATGCCCTTGCCGTACAGTGGAGACCCATGCCAAGGAACACCCTCTGCTTGCCTCCAGGGCGCCCCGGGTTTCTTGGGTTTCGATGGCCCTGCTGTGGAAAGCGTGACGTCCCCGCACCGACGCTCGATGGACGCCCTGGGGTCCCAGGGCTGGGTTTCTCGTGGCAGGCTCCCCGTGGTCGAGCCCCTGCTGTAGCCAGCCGCGCCAGAGCCCCGAGGGCGGGGCGCACGCGCTCCGACTTCGGGATCTGCGCCTCGGCGCGGGCGCCGAGCAGGCGGGGCCCGCTCGGGGGGGGCTTGGCGGGAGCCCCCCGAGGCCGCGCGAGCGACCAGCGCGCGCCCGGCCCACTGCAGCGCAGCTCTCGCGGGCTGCCCGTCCTCGGAGGCGAGGGCCTCGGGCGCCCACCTCGAAGCGTTTTTCGAGCGGGGCGCGGCCAACGGATGCCAAGGGCACTCCTTGAAGGAGGGTTGCCCCGCCTTCCTGTGCGCTTGCGCCCTCCCCCCTTGAGAAGGAGGGCTGCCCAGCCTTCCTGCTGCACTTTCGCGCGCTTGCGCCCCCCCTCTCCCCTGGAGAGGAGCATGCTCTGGGGTCCAGCCCGCCCGCGGGGAGAGCCGGGCCCCACGGGGGGGCGCTTGTTCAGGAGTATGCCCAGGAGGCTTCGGACCCTGTGGGATGCCTTCTCTGACGGGGGCGGCAGTGACATCCATGGCCAATCCGCGATCGGCCATACCCCCATGTGCCCCTTACGCCTTACGCAAAGGTTCCTGGCTCTCGGCGGCGAGCGAGGGAGGGAAGTGACAAGCTAGGTGCGCTCGCGTCATATCTGACGTCCTACCCCTCCCTCCCATCCCTTACCATGGCGCTGATTTTCTCTATCCGCGGACGCGTGTCGTAGCGGACCTGTGGCTCCGCGCGCGCGTGCGTAGTGGGTGGTGGTGCACGTGCGTGCGTGCGTGCGTGTGTGCGTGATTGTCGTGGTGGTGGTGGTAGTGGTGGTAGTGGTGGTGGTGGTGGTGGTGATGGTGGTGGTGGTGGTGCTGGTGGTGGTGGTGGTGGTGCTGGTGGTGGTGGTGTTGGTACTGGTGCTGGTGCTGGTGGTGGTTGTGGTGGTGGTGGTGGTGGTGGTGGTGGTGGTGGTGGCGGTGCGGCGCGGTGGTGGCGGGCGGATGGGCGCGCGAGAAAAAGGCCCGCGCTGGGGCGAGAACGCCATCCTGAACGACGGAGGCCAAACACCGATCCGAAAATGAGGCCCACGCTGCAGCGGGAGCACGATTCAGAACGATTCGGGAGCAGAAATGAGGCCGGCGCCTCAACGAGAGCAGCATTTTGGGAAACAATGACGCCGGCGCCTCAGCGAGAGTCGTTTCCCGGGATTTCCCAGGCATCCTGTGTGTAAAAAACAGTACGCGGAGGGTGCGCGGCCATCACCCGGACGCCATCAGGGGAAGAGGGAGAGTATTTTCATATTGAGTAATTGTGATTGAATAATTGTGAAGGAGAAACCCTGCTATGAAGGCGGCGGGGCTTCTCAGAAGCTCTCAGGCCTTCTGAGAAGAAGTTTTCCTCGTCCTCGGGGAAGGCTTAGAGAACTTCTCATACGGCCAGGGGACTTCCGAGCCTTCTGAGAAGGCCCGCCCCTTCTCACTTCCCCCTCGGGCTCGCCGCCGAGACACACATCCGGGACCGGTTTCTTCAGGACCCACTTGCCGCATGCTCAGTGCGGCAGGATCGTGCAGTGCCGACGCGGCGATTCCGCCGCGGGCGTTCAAGGTTTCGACGCCGCAGGTGGCCCAGAATCGGCCCAGGTGGAACGAGCTGGCGATAGAGAAAGCGCCTATTGTTCAAGCGTGACCGATCCGCTCCTCCTCTTAGTTCCGACCCGCATCGTGGAGGAGTCGTAGAAGAGGGGCGAAGGTGGGGGGCCGAAGAAGGAGGAGGGAGGAGGAAGGCAGAGGGAGGAGGAGGAGGAATAGGAGGAGGAGGAGGAGGAGGAGGAGGAGGAGGAGGAGGAGGAGGAGGAGGAGGAGGAGGAGGAGGAGGAGTGATCCAAGCGGTGTGGGGAGCCTTCGCCGAGGTCATCACGACACGACCTTGCCGTGCCCCCCAGCTCCGTTTATGCTGACCCGCTAACTCTCGGACCACAGCTTGGTGGGCTTCAGGAGGCCCCGTTGGGGGGCGACTCGGGCACACTCCCGGAGAACGCTCTCTCTTGGAGAGCCGCAGCTGCGCCCAGAGCCCACGAAGGAATTTTGAAGCCTTCTCATCCTCCTCCTCCTCCTCCTCCTTTTCCTCCTCCTCCTCGATGCACCCCCCGCCCACGCTGTCTCGGATATTCCCTGGCCGGGACCCTCCGAGCCGCGCCCGCCGCCCGACGGGCCTCGAGCGCCCGACCTGAACGGGGCGAGGGGTGGCCCGGGGCTGCTCGCTCGTTGGCCATCTGCCGGCGGCAGGGCTCTCCCGGGATCCCTCGCTCGCGCTGTTCGACCGCGGCGCGGCTGCGCTGGCTTGCGCGGGGGTAAGAGGACGAGGAGGAGAGGAAGGGGGATCACGAGATGATGGGCCAATTTTCCTCCACCGCTACCATAGGTAGGACGGGGGAGAAGGGAGGATTGGGAGATCCTCCTCCTCCTTCTTCT